TTGGTGGTTGTATTTTGTGTGCTGTGTTGTTAGATGCTGCGTGTCTGATCCAGAGTTGGTGGTTGTATTTTGTGTGCTGTGTTGTTAGATGCTGCTTGAACACTGCTCGTCCACTCATTGCCCAGGCTTAGATCCAGGTGCAGTTCTAGGTGTCTTCTGGTCAATGGGCCCATTATTTGTGATACAGATTTTTAATTTCAAAATATGGGATAGTAGGTAAAGGTAAGAAGAGTCTATCAGTGGCATAGGTGAATTGGGCCAATGAGTCATGTTTTTTTTTTTTTTTTAGTTGTAGAAAGACACAATATCTTTATTTATTTTTATGTGGTGCTGAGGATCGAACCCAGTGCTTCACACGTGGAAGGCAAGTATTCTGCTACTGAGCTATAGCCCAATCTGCAATTAGTCATGTTTTTACAATGATTTACTATAAACTTTCTTTGCTTACTATGTTTCTATTGCTCCTTACTCCATTGAAAAAAGATCATCTTCCTGCATTGCATTCCCAGTTTAGTCCCTTATTGCAGATTAGCCATTAGTAGTATTGCTGTTTGAGTGGGGTGTGGTAGTACACACCTGCAATCCCAGAGACTTGGAGGCTGAGACAGGAGGATCAAGAGTTAGAGGCCAGCCTGGCAATTCAGCGAGACCCTGTCTCACACTAAATAAAGAGGGCTGGGGATGTGGCTCAGTAGTAGAGCACCCCTGGGTTCAGTCCCTAGTACCCAAAAGAGAAAAGAACAGAACTACCACATGGTCTAGCAGTCCCACCTTGGGTCTCGGAGGAGTGTTTGCATCCCATGTTCATTGCAGCAGTGTTCACAGTAGCCAAGATGCAGGGACTACCTAGACATCCACAGGTGGATGAAGGGGTAAAGAAAGCATGGTACACGTGTGTGCACACACACACACACACACACACACACACACAGAGGGATGCTATTCAACCTCAAAAGAGAAGGAGATCCTGACATGCATGTATGACACCATGGATGGGTCAGGGGGACATTGTACCACAAGGTATCAACCAGTATTTTCAGGGCAAATTGTGCAGTTTTGTTTGTGTGAGGACTCTAAAACAGAAGCAGAAAACAGAATGATGGTCTCCCGGACTAGGGGAGGGAGGGGAATGTTTCTCAGTGGGTAGAGAGTTTCTGTGATGCAGGATGCGCAAGTTCTGGATCTGCTGTAGAACACGGTTCCCCTAGTTGACAGTACAGGATCGTATACTTTAAAACAGGTGAGGAAGATACTTCTGTGTTCTTACCAAACCAAAGCACATGGGGGTGTTTGTGGGTGGTGGGTGAGTTCAGTGCTTGGGCCCTGGACCTGGCATCACAGGTGTCCAGACTCATCAAAGTTCTGCATATCAACTGCATCTCAATCAAGCAGTTTACAAAATGTGAGTTTAGGTTGAAATATAAAGATTAAGATTAAGTGGCCAATATTTTAGTAATCCTTAATAATATTTCTGTAAAAATTACCAAGAAAAGCATTATTTCACTTTGTACTTTTTTTTTGACTAGGGAAAACAACCTCTTCATAAGTAATTCAGTAATTTAATGTTACAAAACAAAGTGGATTACCCATCTTTTAGCCAATGTCTGCACAATCTGTAATTTGATATCAAGTAGCATTTAAATAAAAATTATTTTTTAATCAATCTAAATATACTTGAATGTGTTTATAACTTCCAACTGAGAGAAATTTGGAATCTGTGTCTGTGTGCCTGTGTGTGTGTGTTTGTGTGTGTCTATGAATGTGTGAACTATAAAAACATAGGAGACTAGAGCAGGGAATATTTTTCCCACCTTTTTTTGCATCATGAAACTTCCTTAACATGCCTTTATTTATACAGCAACCCAGAGAAGCTCTAAGCCGTCACAAAATTTATGCCCAGCCATCCCCAGTCAGCTGTGTTGGCTTGAAGATCAGTTCTTGGAAACTGAATCAAAATGGCACCATAAGGCATTTCCCTGGTGGGAAAACCTGCAGCGAGGGGCTGAGCCAGGATGCCCAAGTGGGGATGTGCAGGTGGTGCTGGAACAAACAGAGAAGGGAAGGGTGGTGAGGTCCAAGGAGCAGCCACAGAGTGCTGAGATCAGGCGGATGCCTTGGGACAGACCAAGCAGCTGCGAGGAAGTTCCATTCCTCTTGAGCTGTGTATGAACACTTCAGTTCAATGTTCTCAAACAACTTATTTGTTGGGGTGGTATTCTTTTCTTTGTTTGTTTGTGTGTGTGTGTGTGTGTGTGTGTGTTTTTTGTAGTTGTAGATGGACAGAATGCATTATTTTATTTGTTTTTTATTTATATGTGGTGTTGAGGATCGAATCCAGTGCCTCACCCAAGCTAGGCAAGCGCTTTGCCACTGAGCTACAAACAGCCTGAGCCCTGGGGTGGTATTCTTTAAAAGAATTTTTAAAATGGCATGCCCTCAACATTTTAGTAGCACTCTAATACTAAATGTCCAATTTGTATCTTACTTGTAAAAACCTGCAAAGGATTTGATTTCTGACATATGTGTATGTGACCCTTCAAATAAAAACAGTAACATCATTCTTTGGTATCCAGTGGAATATAAATATAGTGATTTGGTTCTCTTTTCTATCCATTCAAAAATATATAAACAGAAAACACTCTTTGTCCTACAGACATTGTATAAGGTTCTTTTCTCCATGAAATTGGGCAACCCTGCCCTACTGGTGGCCTAGGAAGCAGTATTACTGTGCCTTTCAGCTCCACCTGTGCCAGTCCCACCCTCCTCACTTCACCATGCCAAAGTAAAAGCCGCCTTGAGTTTTTCATAACTTTAGGACAAGTTACATCCTTAAATGACAGTTTTGTCTATTTTTAGAAATCTACTCTTGGAAAGTAAGTATTCTCTCTTAGGTTCTTTGGTTACTTGTGATTTCTTTTCAGTATTGCTTTTGAAGTTCATTTCTCTTGATGCAAGTAGCTGAAGTAACTCATACTTATTTTGTTCTATAATATTTATCAGCCAGACTCTGTGGCACATGCCTGTAATCCCAGTGGCTCGGGAGGCTAAGGCAGGAGGTTTGTGAGTTCAAAGCCAGCCTCAACAAAAGTGAGGTGCTAAGTAACTCAGTGAGACCCTGTCTCTAAATAAAATACAAAATAGGGCTGGGGGTGTGGCTGGGGCAGTGGTTGAGTGCCCCTGAGTTGAATCCCTGGTACCTGCCCCCCTAAAAAACAATTACATTGTATTGATACCCAGCTTGTTTTTTATTATATTGATACTGTTTTCTGTTGATGTCACCGAATAACTTATAAAGAAGAAAAGTTCGTTCAGCTCACAGATCTAGAGGCTAGAAAGTAGAAGGGCCTTGCCTGGTGGGGGCCTTCTTGCTGGTGGGAACTATGGAGTCCTGTGGTGGTGCCGGGTGTCCTGTGGAAAGAGTGGTAAAGAGAGCGCGAAGCTGGCTTTTAGAGCAGTTCACCCATGAGTGGGTTCCTCCGTCCACAGGGGCAGAGCGGCAAGGCCCAGTCACCCCTTAGAAACCCACTGGAGCCCACTGGACGCCAGGGCACCAGCCGGCACTGGAGGTGGAGGAGGATAGTCAAACCTGCAGAACTCTTTCTAGTCTGCTCTTGGAGATCCGGACGGCTGTGAATACTCCTGCGTTTCTTTGATACAGTCAGGGCTGGAACTCTGCCCAGAGGCAGGACAGTGCTGTTCAGCCCCCTCCTCTTCCCTCGGTTTCCATCAGTGAGCGGCATGCCCTGTGGAGTTATTCTTGCTGTTGTTCTCTTGGGTGATCGATTTTCTTATTTTTTAAAGGAGGTCTGGGAGTTCTGTTACAGCAGTGTAGACGTGTGCTAGTTTCCTCTCTCAGAAAATATATTCACCAACAAATGCATTAGTAACTGTGTATCATAGGTACAACTTTAAATTAATCTTTCATTTTGCTTAGGGTGGCTTTTAGTAAAGTGGGATCCTTTATTTATTTTGAATTTATCAATATTTTTATATATAGCTTATCCTCTCTCTGTATTGTTTTAATAATTTTTTCCTAAGTTGAGATTTTATGAATAGTTTTCCTGTAATTCAAACTTAAAAAAAACTTTCAACTTTTATAGTTATGTTTATTAATTTATTAGAAATTGAGTTTCAAATATAGTCTTAGTTTAAAATATTTTAGTTTATTAGAAAGTTTTTTGGATCTGTATGTTTTTAAAAAGTCATGTGCCATTAAAACAAAATATGAAATACGACAAAAGTTAAGTTTTCCTTCTACTTCTGATTTCCATTTTCTGTTCTCTGTTAAGAAGAGAAGAACTGGACTTTTTACTTCTAAAAGAGGCGAAAACTTTGTCCTTGGGTTTCTGCTAATCATTTATCTTGTGATTCTCTTGGCAATACTTTACCAATTTAAAGAGAATATTATACTCTTAGAAAGGAGGAACTGTTTAGGGTGCTTTTTCTCCTACTTGGTGTTCATGATATCGTTTTTGACCTGCCGGTCAGTGTGATCTCCTGAACTGACTTGGTGGCTTGGAGGTGCTGGTCCTGTGCACAGCTCTGGGTGCGTGGGGGGGAGGCGGAAGTCGCCCTCCTTGAGGACCTCTGGAGTCCTGCAGTAAGTGCTTCCTAGTGCAGATGCATGTTGTGATCTCTTCTGCTGTGATCTCCACACCTTCCAGGGGTCCTGCCAGAGCAAGAACCCTGGCTTACTTTGGAGAAGGGAAGGGGCCCATCCACATGGACAACGTGAGGTGCACGGGCACAGAGAGGTCCTTGGCCGACTGTGTCAAGCGAGACTTCGGGAGACACAACTGTCGACATGGCGAAGACGCAGGGGTCATTTGTGATTACTCTGGCACAAAGACCTCGGGCAGCAGTAGTACAGGTGAGTTACCTCCTGGGACCCAGAGAGTCCGCACAGATGAATGCCAGAGACCCATCAAACTTGTCTGCTTGCACATTACTGTCGTTTATTTAAGTGAGAAAACTTGCCTTTTATTATCATAAAAAGTTTCCTATAATTTGCAGAGAAAAAGAATGTTACAGTAGAGAAGAAAGTAGTAGGGGAATATGTCACGTAGCTTTTTTTTTTTTTACCCCTTTAGCAGTGTGATATCTAATTAATGATCTAATTTGTTAGCTTTTCTACTGCTGCAACCAAAAGACCTGACAAGGAAAAGTTCTTTGGCTCAGAGTTGGAGAGGTCTAAGTCCATAGAGGGACGGACCCATATTCTGGACCCTCATGGTAGCGGGGTGTGGAGAAGGAGGGCAGGACAGGGCATGGGAATCAGGAAACAGAGAAGGAGAGAGCTCTGCTCACCAGGGTCAAACTCTACCCCCAATGGCAAGCCCCAGTGACCAGCTCCTCCAGACACACCCACCTGCCTACAGCCCGCACCTGGTAACACCTGTCAGGGGATTATGCACTGATTGGGCTCAGACTCTCAGACTCTGGTGTTTCACCCCCAAGCCTTCCTGAACTATCTCACAGGAGCTTTGGGGTCCCCTCATCTAAACCAGAATACCTACTGGCTTGCATGTCTCCCCCGCTCGGCAACATGATTGAATCAATGGCCTGTTTCTGCTGCAGAGCCCCTCTCGGCTGTTTGTGGTCTGAGATTGTTGCACCATCGGCAGAAGCGCATCATTGGTGGAAAAAATTCTTTAAGGTAAAAGGTTCTTCAAAGGAGATTCTCCACATTATAGAGTGCCAACTTGTGCTCTTCTGCTGTTACATGGGAATTGTTCTATGCATTTTATTTTCTAAACTAAGTACTCTTATATTGTTAACTGCCCTGTCCTTTACCTACGTTTGATTGATATAGACCATGTTCTTACATCATGATCCTATGATTTATGTCATAGATATGTTGCTGAAAAGTGGCATGATAGAAACAAAACACTGTAACAGAGACCTGGGGAAAACGTGGAATGCATTTGATTTAGAATAACGTATCTGATTTGGCTGGTTTCATTGTAAATCTTTGGTGGCTGAGTGCAGGCCAGCACTGTGTTGACTAAGTAGGTCTTCAGCCTCTGGGGTTAGGGGGGTGGGGAGAGGGCTGTGCTCACACCCCCTGTGTCCCAGAATGCTGGGCAGCTGGCTGGCATCTACTGCCTGCCTTTGGCGCCTCCCCAGGCTGCTGCTACTTGGGAAACCTTCTCCAGGTTGGAGGCAGCTGGCCTCCCGAGTCTCTTTGGAATCCGCTTCCTCACACCACAGGCCATCAGAGCCATCACTTTGAGGCTTTTCTTTGGATCTTTTGTCTTTTATGGGCCTGTGGCTCCCTCTGTTTCAGGGGTGGCTGGCCCTGGCAGGTTTCCCTCCGACTGAAGTCACCCCATGGAGGTGGCAGGCTCCTGTGCGGGGCAACGCTTCTCAGCAGCTGCTGGGTCCTGACGGCCGCTCACTGCTTCAAGAGGTACGTGTCCATCCTTGTCAGCACCCTTCTGGGGCCTGGTGTCCATCCTTGTCAGCACCCTCCTGCTTCTGGGACCTAGTGTCAGAGCTGGGCTGTGAGTCTTCTCTGATGGGTGCTTCTTCAGCTTGCGGGAGTGAGGGGTGACAGAAGGAGCACCTTGCAGGCTCCTGTGACATGAGACCTGGGTCACGGAGGCAGCTGTGGCGATACTTTCCCGAGGTGAATCGCAGCCGGTGGATATAAAAGCTGCTTTGTCAATAAAGACACTCAGGAGCAGGCGTGCGGTTCTGGCAGCTTAGATGCTTCTTTCTTCTTGCAAGACCAAACACTCCGCCTTATTCAAGGCTGAGAGAGGATGCTCAGCTATGGGCGGGCGGCCTCCTCATTGAGTGGCTTCTGTCTTCTTGGTGGTTTGTCTGAGAGTTCTCTGTGTGTACCTTCTAGAAAGGCAGGCTGCATCCATTTTATCCTTGGCCTTCATGCTGGTTGAGTCCTGATTATTTCCTCTTATTTCCAATACTTCATTAGTCAATCCTATCTTCCTTGTTCCAAGGGGAGACCCTGCAGGAAACCTGCAGGAGGACTGACTCCTCTCCTCTCATCCAGGGCTCTTTGTGGCCTCTAGGGGGTGGCCATTGCCTCAGCATGAACTTTGGGGTGTATTTAAAATATACACTAAACCTGGCAAAATGTTGATGATCACTGAAGCAAGGTGACGTCAATGAGGTGTTTGGTTATACTCTTAACTTTGTGTGTTGGAAAAGTGTCATAATAAAAATCTTAAAAAGAATATGCATTGTATGGTTGATGATTTCTTCCAAGCAAAATTTTGCTTTACATTTTTTTTTCTTTCACACTGGGGATTGAACCCAGGGGCGCTTACCCACTGAACTCCCCAGCCCTTTTTATTTATCTATTTTTTTAATTTTTGAGACAGGGTCTTGCTGAGTTGCTTAAGGCCTCAAAAAATTGCTGAGGCTGGCTTTGAACTTGCAATCCTCCTGCCTCTGCCTCCAGAGCTGCAGGGACTACAGGTGTGTTCCACTGTGCCCAGCTGACTTTTTTTTCTCACATGCCCTCATAAGGCATGTACCTTTGCAGACTACTGTGTAGATTTTGTTCATTCACTTCAGCTGCCATATGAACTTTCACTTCTGCTGTAAAACTTATCCAGTTTATTGAATCCCGTATGGATGGATAGTGAGGTGATTTCCATTGATTGACTGCTAAAGCACCATTCAGTAGAATACGCAGTATGCGGTGTCTCACCAGGGCGCGTATGGGAGCCTCGTGCTGGGTCCTGAGGTGCCAGGCTCCCTTCAGTTCTGAGAGGCCCTGCCAGGTATCCTCAAGAGAAACTGGATTCGATTCATTCACGACACAGCACTGTGGAAGGTTCTGCCTGATCTTTCCGCTTGAACCTGATACTACCAGAAATTTTAACTTTTGCTAATTTTAGAGATTTGGAGTTTCTTTTAAATTGCATTTCCCTGATTATTGTTTCCCTCTTTCATGAACTCTACTGTTCATGTCCTTTGCCGATTTTCTATCGTATTATCTTTTTTTGTAGTTGACTTAAACATTATTCTGCAAAGTCATTTCTGATATGTCCAGAACTTTTCCCAGTCTGGACTATCCCTTTTACTTGTTTATGGTTCTTTTCTTATGAAAATATGTCAATTTTAAAAAAGTCTCATTTTCCTTTAAAGTTTGTAAAAGCTTTACATATCTCATTTTAAAAATCTTTCCCTAGACTCACATAAAGATATTTTTACTTTTTTCTAAAAAATTTATAGTTTTGGGCTGACGTTGTGGCTCAGCAGTAGAGTGCTGGCGCAGCACGTGTGGGGGCCCTGGGTTCAATTCTCAGCATCACATAAAAATAAATAAACAAAATAGGGTATTTGTCCATCATAACTAAAAAAAAATAAAGAATTTATACTTTTGCTTTTAATATTTAGACTTTCAATCTGTTAAGTTTATTTTTGTGTATGGCATGTGGTGTGAGGAAGGGGCCAACTTTCACACTCTTCTTTGTGGATAGTCTTCCCAACACTTTTCTTTTTTTTGAGTGTTCCATTATTTACCCACTGGTTTATGTGAACTATGTCATATATCAAATTCTCATATATTCTTGTTTCTAGGATCTCTAGTCACTTCCACTAATCTGTTTCAATAAATATTTTTGAAGTAATCTGTTCAAGGTGGTTGCCAAAAATATAAATCTACATTTTATATCATATTTGTCTGGGATATAATTGAGTGTGAGAATGCTGCCACATTCCAGTGGGCTTAACGCATTCCTGTGTGACCTGAGTAGCACAGGTAATAAAGATTATATTTGTTCATTAACTTAAACAATTAGTGAGCCCCTGAGGCCCAGTAAACGCTGTGCACTCGGGTGCAGTGGAGACCGAGACAGGTAAAGTTCTGCTATGGTGGAATGTATGATGTGGCTGTAGAGTCCAGAGGAGGGAGACATCTATGTTGCTTATGACCAGCAAGTGCATAGGGCCCACAGGAGTGCTTTTGTCACTGTACAGTACTACACATTAGGCGTCGAGGTTCCTGGGTGCCTACTGCACAGCCACCGGAGCTCCGGTTCCTTTGGGCTCCAAGGCTAAGAACCGCTTGCTCCGTGGAGAGACTAGAATATGATCTGGACCTTGGGAAGAATGTTATGGAGCTGACGGATGCTGCCTGTTCAGTACCCCTGATGCTAGACTGAGAAAGGCTCCCTGGGTAAATTAATTATAGTCTGTGTGCCAGAAGGCTGGGAGAGATGAGTGATGTGAATGTCTGAAGACAGACTCACGGTGCTGCAGATTTGCTAGGCCCATTCTAATTAGCAACATGGAATAAGGATGAGCACAGCGCCTCCTTCAGTTCAGGAAGCTTGGCTTAAATACAGCACATGTGGAAGACCTCGGAGCTTTGATGTCCTGCAGCCCTGATACAAGTCAGCAGTGCAGTGAGTTTGCTGCACAATTAACTCAGCCTGGGCAGCACTCTCAGAGCAGAGCTGCCTGGTCTTACCCTGCTCTAGCTGCTGTGAGGACAGCAGGTCTCATAAGGGAGAACTATGCTCAGTGAGGAGTGCGGCATGGTGAATCTTGAAGGACAAGCAGGTACAGAGGGGAGATTTGTAGTTATTTTGTATTTAACACTAGGACAGTTCAAAGATGGAATGAGCTATATCTGTGGGAGGAAAATGATTTTGTTATAGGATCTGTTTTAACAAAGAGGCTGGTGTTTGTGGAGAAGAGTCATTTGGAGATGTGAGAGACAGGTCTCAGGTTGGACAGACATCTAAGGGTGTGACAGTGAGCTTGAAATGATACGAAACATCTTTGCAATGCACTTGTATGCCTTTTTATGCCATGACTCAAATTTGTCTGTTTTACCAAGCAGAAGGCCCACTCAGTAAGAGCAGGAAGGACTGCATGTGAGAGTCCAGGTCTGTGTTTATTCCAAAGGAAGAACAGTGATGAGGCTGTTGTAATAGTGAAGACGAAAGGTAGAAAGCAAAGAGGTTATCTATCCGTAGTAGGTGGCTGCACGAGCCCATCCTCTGTGTTGCTTAGTTCTTTGAACTGGTTCAGTTTAGGATCATCCATCAGGAGGCCAGAGCCTAGGTGGGCTACTAGGATGTTTGAGCATCTCATAACCTGGAGAAACCGGAGGTTGTATTTTAAATAGGCAGTCACCAGAAAACTCAAAAGCTTCTGAACACACCCTAATCAGTGCATTCAAGAAGAGGTCTTGTGAATAGTGGAAGCCTCACAAGCTTCTGTCAAAAATCGAGGTGAGGGTTGTTAAGTGTATACTTTTCTCTGTAAGCATTTGATGTCAGCATCAAGTGTGTGGAGAGTCGATGAAGCCAGGGTTGCAGTGGCCGGCACAAGGAAAGGACTGTCGTCGTGCAGAGGAGTGACTGTGGGAGTGGACAGCAGGGTCCAGGCAGACAGGGAGGGAGTCACACAGGGCAGCACTGAGGGGAGCCTGAGTGTGCTGGAGACCCGATGCTCAGTGTGCTGTTGGCTGTGGAGCTAAAGAGGGAGGGGCAGCGGGTAGATACGCGGCTGGACAGAAAGGTTTAGGAAGCAGGTAGAAAGGGGAGCAGCGGGCAGAACGGGTATGGGGCTGGCAGGAAGGTTTAAGGAGCAGGTGGGGGAGGGCTAGATGTGAGCTGCCAGGCAGGACGAGGTGAACACACTCATTGCATATCGTGAGAGGGCTGAGAATGCAGGCATGAGTTGTGCTGCACGGGTGGCTGAGGCAAGAAGCATGCAAGGTGCTGGGACTCTCAGTGAGCAAAGCCAGTGCCCAGGGCACCAAGCAGCATCTGAGCAGCATCTTGCTCAATGGGGCTTCTTTCACCTCAGGCGACATCTGACAGTATTTGGAGGCTTTTTTTGGTTTTCACAGCAGGGAATAGTGGGTATATGCACTGATGGATCTAGGGAATAGGACCGGGGAAGCTTGTAAACACCCCTTGATGCAGTTGCCTTTACCACAAAGAATTATCTGGCCTAAAATGTGAAGTGTTGGCATCAAGAAATCCTGCTTTAGGTTGAAGTGTCAGAATCAAGGTATGCTGATTAAAAAACAGGCTGAGAGTTTTCAATTTAGTGAATTTTGTGTTTCTATTTGAATCAAAAGAGCTTTATGGGGAGGCAGCTAGCACCTCGTTAGAGGGCTCTTCTTCCTGCTCAGGAGGATGCAAACCACCTAAGAAATTAAAGTCTAGGATAATTCATAAAGAACAAAGACACAGAGTCAGAAAAAATAGTTTTAAAGGATGGAACCCCTGATAAGTCCAATCCACACAGAAGCTGGAGGTAGACAACTAGAAAATGGCTCCTGTGGTTTATTTAAGGGGTACATCAAAGGCAGAGATAAGGTTTCAGGAGTGGAGTCTTGCTTCTGATGTCTTGCTCTCAGCAGGTTGATTGGCATCTTGGCAGATCACACCCATCTCTGAGAGGCTGTGTGGCCAGGTGGTTGTAGCTGTGTGGGACCAGGCAGAGCGGAATACAAATTTACATGTATTTGGGCAATCTCACTCTGTAGTAGGACTCCATGGGAAGTTCCCGAACACCAGCTGTTTCTATTCACAGGGGCTGCCATGCTGACGTAGTCCACACACAGCCCATGGATGGCTCTTGACATAGCTTCTCATGGAATAAAGAATGCCCACAGCAAAGGTGAACATCTGTCCATTCACAGAATCACCTAACAAGTTGCATTCCTCATTAAGGAGGCATTGATGTTCCAGATGTTTAAGATTTTTCAGTGAATGCCACAGATAAAGATTTCTGACCTGCAATAACTGTTACTTAAGGAAAGATAGAGAATAATATTTTTTAAAATTATTTATTCTGACTTATTATACATGATGGCAGAATGCATTTCAATTCATAGTACACATATAGAGCACAATTTTTTCACATCTCTGGTTGTATAGAGTCACACCATTCATGTACTTGGGGTAATGATGTTCATCTCATTCCACCATCCTTCCTACCCCCATGTCTTCCCCTTCCTCCCCCTTTGCCCTATATAAAGTTCCTTCATTCCTCCCATGCTCCCTCACTACACCCATTATGGTTCAGCATCCACATATCAGAGAAAACATTTGGCTTTGGTGTTTTGGGATTGGCTAACTTCACTTAGCATGGTATTCTCCAACTCCATCCATTTACCTGCAAAAGTCATGGTTTTATTCTCTTTTATTGCTGAATAATATTCATTGTGTATATATACCACAGTTTATTTATCTGTTCATCTACTGAAGGGCATCTAGGTTGCTTCCACAGTTTAACTATTGTGAATTGTGCTGCTATATATATTGATATGGCTGTGTCCCTGTGGTATGCTGTTTTTAAGTCCTTTGGATATGACAGAGGAGTGGGATAGCTGGGTCAAATGGTGGTTCCATTACAAGTTTTCTAAGGAATGTACTGCTTTGCATATTGGCTGCACCAATTTGCAGTCCCACCAGCAGTGTATGAGTGTACCTTTCCCCCCACATCCTCTCCGACACTTTATTGTTGTTTGTATTCTTAATAGCTGCTACTGTGACTGGAGTGAGAAGAAATCTTAGAGTTAGTTTTTATTTGTATTTCTCTAATTGCTAGAGATGTTGAATATTTTCTCATATGTTTGTTGATTGATTATATATCATCTTCCTAGAGGTGTCTGTTCATTTCCTTGGCCCACTTATTGATTGGGTTATTTGGTTTTTATTTTTTATTTTTTTGGTGTTAAGTTTTTTGAGTTCTTTACATATCCTAGAGATTAGTGCTCTGTCTAATGTGCCTGTGGTAAAATAAACTTGTAGATGAAAGAAATTAAAGGGATATGGATAGGGATTCCCTACGGTTCAACATTCAGAAATCAATAAATGTAATTCATCACATCAATAGAATTAAAGATAAGAATCATATGATCATCTCAATAGATGTAGAAAAAACATTCAACAAAATACAACACCCATTCATGTTCAAGACTAGAAAAACTAGGGATAACAGGAACATATTTCAACATTGTAAAAGTTGTCTATGCTAAGCCCCAGGCCAACATCACTCTAAATGGAGAAAAATTGAAAGCATTCCCTCTAAAAACTGGAATAAGACAGAGAACAATAAATGTAATAAACAGTGAACTACACAGTCTGTCAGAAAGGAAACGAGGAGCCAATCTGGTATACTGCAGTTCAGGGAACGTGCGGACAAACGTGGGTTGCAATTTAAACATGAGTGTGTCAGGAGGCTTCACTGAGGTGATGTCTCAGTAAAGAAGCTGAGAACATAATGAATGCACCTTGACCTGAAAACACGGTTTGGGTTTCCGCTTGGTTCACAGGAAAGGCAGTGAACTTATTCTCTTAGTCCTCACTAGGAGTAGGTGGGTGGCACCAAGAGCTCTGAGGGATATCAAGTTAGGTCATGTGTGTTTCTGCCCTATGGAGTTTCAGGATAAACTAAAGGCGGCAAATGCAGGACAATGATTCTGCCCTGTACTCTTCATTTCTGTTTGTTGATGTTTAGTCCGCATTTCCCACTCATTCTCCACATTTGCTTCTTCTCAGAAAATGAGTTACTGGGTGGTAACCTAGATTTCAGGTGAAATGAAGATGGGAGGTGGTGACAGAGAGGGTCAGCAGCAGTGGGTTAAAGGAATGAAAGGAAAGGTTGAATTCACAAAAGGGGCTGATGATTTGGAACTGAATTTTACACAACTCCGCTGGCTTTCCTTGCTGAGTTTTCATGCTGAAAACAAGCTGCTCATTAGCTCTGTCTCTCAGGTACGGCAACAGCTCCAGGAACTATGCTGTTCGGGTTGGGGATTATCATACTTTGGTGCTGGAGGAGTTTGAAGAAGAAATTGGAGTGCAGCAAGTTGTGGTGCATCAGCAGTACCGACCAGACAGCAGTGACCATGACATCGCCCTGGTCAGACTGCAAGGACCAGAGGAGCAGTGTGCCAGACTCAGCAGCCATGTTCTGCCAGCCTGTTTGCCACTGCAGAGAGAGCGGCCACAGAAGACAGCCTCCAACTGCTACATAACAGGCTGGGGAGACACAGGTAATATAAGCTCACGGAGAAACAGACAAGAAGGCTGGCTCGTCTGCTATTATCCAGTCGGCAGGAAGATTGTAAATGGGCTCAGGCTTAGCTGCTTGAAAATTCTTAGGCGTGAAATGTTTGCATGTAATCTAGATTCATTTTTAAGAGTACTGTTAGTTCCAATGAGAATTCAAACTGAGAGAACTCAGTTGCTAATGGGCTTTAGGAGTGGAGAATATCCTTATCTGACCGTGAGAGGACAAGGGAAGAGATTTCAATACCATACCCCACGATTTAGGCCACGTAGTCTATTTTAAAAAGCTCCCCATATGACAATGATGTATTTGGCCTAGCGAAAGGATCTGGTGTTAAATAATTTCTTTATCAAGCTAAGTATAGATGAGACAAAAGCAGAAGTGCCAAGTGGAGTCTGAGATTAAGGAAATACACGTTCTCCCTCATCCTTCTTTCCCATTCTCCTCACTTGCAACCCCAAAGCAAGAATCGTGTTCAGCTGGATCCTTCTATGAATACAGCCCTTGGCCTTGTGCCTAGAGTTTAGGCACTGTCAGCTAGTGCTTGCTCAGGATAGGCCTTGAAACAGCCATCAGTCTCACTAGGGTCAAGATACAGGCCTTCTCGATGTACTGTGCTGATCTCTAAGCACATCTCATCACTGAGGACCAGGTCCATTACTTCATAAGGGAATCGGTCCTTTGATATCACATCTGAATTAATAGAAATGACCAAGGAAGTAAATTTTACATGGTGGTTTTTTTTTTTTGTGTGTGTGTGTCCTAGTTATTCCAATTTAGTTAACTGGATAAGAGAATATGATGAAATCTATATTCAAACTAGGATAACAAAGAGGACATTATCTATCATACATTTAAGCTACTGAGCAAAGTAATGAATGGTTTATCAACAAGCAGAGTGCACTGCACCAGGTGTAAACTATGTATGGAGAACAATGTGTGGTATTTTAGCTGAATCCTTATACAATGCCATATTCCCATTTAGCACCTTATATTTTATATTATTGCATTTATATTTAATCCTCAAATTCAGTTAAGTAGGTGATTCTTAAATGTGCTAAAGCAAAACCAGCATGAATTTAGCTTTTTATTGTACGGAATTCAACAACTAAAGCCCACATGAATGTGCTTTCTCCAGGTTACCTTTCTGTGCTACCAAACTCAGAAATGTTACTCATTATTCCTCAAAAATTCAGTCCGTGTGAAGGTTAAGTGCTGACAATCAGAAAGGCCGCTAATGACATTACATGCCACTTATAGTTATCACTCACTTTGAACTATACCAATGTCACAACAGGGGGTTGTTTTGGAGACTATGAAATGTTCATTAAACTTGATTGGTAGCTGGATCTCCTTGATTAATATGGATATTTGGTCTGAGTAGGACGAGCCTATTCAAGGACACTACAACAAGCAGCCATCCCTGTACTTCCCAAGAGGTTTTGTGAAGAACGGTATAAGGGCCGGTTTACAGGGAGAATGCTCTGTGCTGGAAACCTCCAGGAACACAGACGTGTGGACAGCTGCCAGGGAGACAGCGGGGGACCACTCATGTGCAAGAGGCCTGGAGAAAGCTGGGTTGTGTATGGGGTGACTTCCTGGGGGTATGGCTGTGGAATCAAGGGCTCCCCTGGTGTTTACACCAAAGTCTCAGCCTTTGTACCTTGGATAAAAAGCATCACTAAACTGTGATTCTGGAAACCTCAGAACAAATAGTATTAAAAGGAACTTATGAAAAACTTTTAACCTCAACCTTTACCTGTAAACCAGATGACAACTGTGAGGGTTTCATGTTCCTTGATATTTGTTTGTAGAAACTGTGTACCTTTGCTGATTTTGAGACTTTGTGAAGTTTTGATTCAGATACCTCAGTATTATCTTTAGCATTGTTACCTACCCAAATTTTACCAAAGTAAACTTTCTCTTAGCTTTTTTTTTTGGTAGCAGGTACTTAACTCAGGGATGCTTAACCACTGAGCCACATCCCTAGCCCTTTATTTGAGACAAGTCTTGCTAAATTGCTGAGGCTGGCCTTAAACTTGGCATCCTCCTGCCTCAGCCTCTGGGATTACAGACATGTCTCACCACACCAGTGAGTAACTCTTAACATTCTCTAGATTATTTTCAATAAAGATGTTTTACATTTGCCTGGACTAAGTCCTTATGAGTCAGCATAATGTAAGAAATCAAAGTACCCACATTTGATCTTAAAGGTACCCTTTACTAGAATGTCCAATGAAGTGATCTGCTACAAAGATACTTTATCTTTGTTAAGAACCAAGCAACAAACACAAGAGGAAAAATGTTCTATATGTAAGCTACTAGCAAATTATGAATTTTGGATAACATGAAAAATGCTAGTTGAATATACAACTGATTTACTGGATATGTTAACTCGCTCAAACAACCTTTAACAACCACATCAGATCTGTAATTTAGTAAATTGTTTCTCAGTATTAGGCTCAAAGTTTTCTGGATTGTGTTGGTAGAGTGCCACCTACTGGAACTTTCCCAATAATTGGCTTCACCTGTGGGTTTCAAAATTCTGGTACAATGCAACCTATTAAAATACACCAATAAAAATGCTTTTCCTACCTATTGTGCTATTAAAAACCTACTTCAATCACACTACAATTAGTGGCTATACAATAGCTTAAAGACCAATAAGATTTTACAGAGGTCCTCATTTTCAAATGAGGAAAACAGGCTGCTGCCAAGATGAACTAGTTTGTGCACTTTGATAATTCAAAGTGCAAAAATAAAATAAAATCCAGTGCTGCTTTTATCTCAACTAAAGGCAAGTTTCCTGCTAGCTTTCCTGGAAGGTAAGACAGATGTAATGTCCTTACAGGACATTCTTATTAACACCAAATCTTTGCCTACACTCCTAGTTTAGAATAATCCTCTTAAATGGTTGCCATGGTGAAATGACTGGCACATTCTGATATGCCAAGAATCCCACTGCTTAAGATTCCCCTCTCTCCAGGACCTTTCTTCAGGGATATCTCTTATGTGATTAACTATACCTGGCACACCTTGCACAAAGGTTTAGGACAATGTGCATTACAGCTGAGAAAGTAACCCACTCCTGTAGTGAACCTTTTTAACCACATTCCCTTTGTAACCTACAATGATGGTGCAATAAGTTTTAAACAGACAAGGAAACCATAAATTTAGAGCAGTGAACACATGGCCTGCAGTTTGCCCAATTCTGAAGTAGAACCCATGCTGATTTTTTCTTAGGAGAGACTAGCCACAACTCCAGCCCCTAAGGGGAATTTTTTTAAAAGTTTGGGTATTCAGTAAATAAAGCACAAAACATGTACAGTTGCCTAAATCTTTTTGTGTGATACAAGACGCTAACCTCTCTCTTGGGGGTAATCTGATAATGTTTATGTACAAATTTCCCTCAAATGCTATACCCAATCTCTGCACAGTAAACAAAGTATTCTCTTCACTGTTAATTCAATTCAATCAAGTAACAGCGAGTAGTCATGTGAGCCATTTTATTCAATCATACCAAGGATGCATCTGAAATACAAATTCAAAATAATTCAGACTCATATTATAAATAGTGCCCTGATAGTTTCCAGAATGTTACTCAAAATACCCATTCCCCAACTGAAATTTAGGTTCGGTGATCCACTGCAAGATGCTGCTCAGGCCTTTACTCACCGTCACTGGATTTCTTGAGGTCTGCAAGAAAAGAAAGCCAGCATTGTAGCAATGAGATGGCAATTCAGGTATTCCTAGTTACTCTTAACGTTATAAAAAGCCAGCACAACGAGCAGACTTTAGCTTTCAGCAGCCGCGATAAAGGATTTCAGATTGACTCGGAAATTCTGTAAATGTAAAAGGGCCTCGTCACGGTTTCTGCCGCTGTCAGCGGGGCGCTGTTTCCTGCAGGGTTTGAACAATGGTTCAGGGAAGCCTAGCAACCCGTCATCCTCCCGGTTTTAGTGAAGAATGTCACTTGTGCAAGTCAGAATCTGATACCAATTAAATGGTGACAGCTTTGCCAATAAACAAGAATATGCTCTTCCATGGCTAGGAAGGGAGACTGCCACGGCCGACAGGTCCCAAAGACACATGGAGGTTCGGCGCAGGCCCGCCGGCAGCACCCACCCCGGGCCCTCCGCCGCCGCCTCGCGACTCCCCCACACGCCTCCGCAGACGCGGTCCCCCAGCATTCCCACCTCGGCTCGAGCTGTGGCCAGTTACGAGCTGGGCGACCAGGACAATGCAGGCACAGCACCCGAGACGACGCCTGACGCAAAAGGGCGAAACTCGCCGCGCACGCGCTCTTATGGAGCCGTGACGCACCGGAAGTGCCACGGGGGCGGGAGGATCGCCGGATCCAGGTTCCCGAGCGTGCCCGAGAGCCAACAGTTGTCGCGAGACTGTGAAATCCTGTCGCGGCTTGCGGTCAGAGAAGGGCCTTCGCCGGGGCCAGGCTTCTGCGCATGCGCGAGACCAAGACATTCTCGCGATACCGTGAAATCCCGCCGCTGAGGAGCGCGGGGTCACAGAATAAAGTGTGGCGTAGGTTGACCTCAGGTGGTTGGTTTCAGAGTCACCTTTGCCCCCAGGATGTCTTCTGTGAGGCTACCTTGCTTTTCGGGGTCCTCTTGTGCGTTTTCCACCACTCTTCCCTCCGCTGGAGCGCCAGCGTCCACCCGTCTGTCCCCGGTGGGCGCCCAGGGTCGGGGTGGGAGTTAACAGCTGAGGCCTCCCGAAACCGAGGCGCCGGGAAGACGTGGCCGCCCCCAACCTGATCGTGTGACCACGTCAGAAGGTCCAGACACGGTGCTCAGGGCGACGGGCGCGAGCTCCCTGGAGGGCTGGGGAGGGCCACGCTGCAGGGGAGTGGACGGCCCCGAGAGGAGCGGACAGCGTGCCCCTCCTGCAGGCCAGCTCCCCGGGCGTTGCCCGAGAGCCCCGCCGGGCCCGCCTCCTGCTGACCGACCGCTCGGCCGCGCCGGCCGAGGTCCGCACGGTCCCCGCCGCCCGGGCGTCCTGGCCCCTGCCGCCCGCGCGGATGGGAGGCTCTTGCCGGGTTTGGCTGGGAGTGAACCTTGTTCCCTCTGAGCTTCAGCGTAGTTTACGCAGCCGTCCAGTTAGGCCACACGGTCCCTGCTTCTTGGAAAAGAAGCACAGTGGGCCCATTTTGTAGATTTATTCCCTTAAATTCTTGTTCTCACCTGTCTGTCACGTATCAGAAGGAGAAAGAGGTCCATCCATCTGCTGTCTGTCCCTTGTGTGGCACTGCCCACCGAGGTTGGCAGCGCTGCAGGAAGCTGCCCCCTGGTGCCCTTTGCTCTGTGAAGGTTGGGGATCTCAGCATAGGTGGGGGGCAGAGAAAGGGTCATCGCCTAGGACCGCTGTTGTACTGCATGAGATCTTACCAAATTGTAGTATTTTCCATCTTATTTTTCTCTGACAGAAAGCACAAAAGAGGATCATTTGAGGCAGCACTTTGCAGCACTTGCTGGTAGGGAAAAGGGTTCAATAACTAGGAGAGTGCCCTAGCGATCTGCAGAAACTTCATGCGGTCCCTGCCTTACCATGTGGGGAAAGAATTCAGTCAGCAAAAACTGCTTTTAAGTTAAGGGTCAGAATAGACAAACTTAGCTAAATTTTAACTTGAATGCACTGCCTATAAGGTTCACTGCATTTCACCCTTACTTTCTCTGACTTCATCTTCACTCACCTCATCTTGCTAATGAGATGAAAGAACTCTTCAATCACAAGGCTTAAATACTGCATCGTAATAAATGATGCACTTTGCAAGTTTTGCCAGATTTCATCTTATTTATATTCCAAATAACAATTCACATTAGTTTGCTAGGGTTTTCCTAATAAAGTACCACATAATGGGGGTTTAAAGAACCCAAACTTAGGAGGATGCTGGGAGCCCAAGACCAGGTTTCCATGTTTCTCCTGAGGCCTCTGTCCTTGGCACATAGATGTAGTCTTCTCCCCCTGTCTTCAGATGGTTTTCTTTTTGTGTCTCTCTGCTTGAGTCAACTTTTCTTAAAAAACACTGGTCATATTTGATGAGGGCCCACACTAATGGTGTCATCGACCCTTAATTACCTCTTTAGGACCTTGTCTTTAAACACAGTCATATTCAGAGGTAGTAGGAGGTTAGGATTTCAAAACAGGGGTTTTGGAGAGCCTGATTAGCCATAACATTATTCATTTGTGATAAACCATAAAGTTCTTAACTGAAGATTTTAAGTGAATGCTTCCCTTGGGTCAGGTGTCCATATATGTGCATGTATGGCACATGTCCAGACTTTGGACTAAAGCTTATGTTTTGTCTGAAATTGAACTTTAAAAACTGCCCTTTTCTACCCCCATATTTTGAATATGCTAATTTCTCCATCTTCTGTGCCTTTCTGTCTATTCTCATCTGTCCAGATTCTGTTCTACTTTCAGTGCTTTGCCCAAAGATTGCTTTTCTTTGAAAATATTTACTATTCCACCTGAATTTATTTTTTACTTTTTTGGTATATGGTAGCACTTGTATTTTCTTGTATGTTTACCATGAACTTGTTGTGGTGCTTAGCATGTATATATGAAATTTTTAAAAAATTACTTTTCATCTTGAAAAATAAATAATTTTTACCTAGAAGGTGGAATTTAATCCCCCTTCCCTGTAACACCACCTTGAGTGTGGTCTGTGCTATGTAAATCTCAAAGGGTATAATGAGAAAAAAGGAAGAAAGCAATACATTACAGTGGAGGAAAATGACACATACCACTTGGTGATCAGTGGTAAGTTGTGGTGATGGTGTGTCCTCTGATGTGATGTGAGAACACTTCACCTTTCTCTTTGTTTTTCTTCCTCAAAGTTCATACCCTAGCCTAAACTGTGAGAAGAAATCAGGATTATTGATGGACATTTTATAAGTTATCTAATCATTCAACACAAAAAAAGACAAGAAAAATAGGAAGGTGCTGGGCATGGTGGTGCACACCTGCAATCCTAGTGGCTCCAGAGGCTGAGGCAGGAGGATCGTGAGTTCAGAGCCAGCCTCAGCAATGGCAAGGTGCTAAGCAACTCGGTGAGACCCTGTCTCTAAATAAAATACAATATAGGACTGAGGATGTGGCTCAGTGATCAAGTGCCCCTGAGTTAAATCCCTAGTACCTCCCCTTTCAAAAAAGTAGGATGTTGTCACACCAAAGGGAGTGATACCTAGCAACTAAATGTAGTATCTTGGCTGAAATCCTCAAACAGAAATGATGTTAATGATAAACTAGTGAAATCTGAATAAAGTGTGGAATTTACTTAAAAGTAGTCTGCCAATGTTGATTTCATAGTTTTGACAGGTATGGTGTACTATGATAAGATATTAACAGTAAAATTGGATAAGGGTGTTAGATTAGGCAGAAGGACATTAGCAGGAGGGTCTGAAAGGTAAGAAGACAGATTGAAAGGTATACTTGGCTGCTGGGCTAGGGGAAGAGCTCATCTTTGAGGCTTTCATCCTGCTCTGTTGGAACTTGTACCTTCCTTTTAAAGTAGAGGGAATGGATGATTGTGCAGGGTTATAACCTTGACCCTAATGGATTTTTCAAACCGGACCACCTTCTCTAATAAATCCCTCAGTCTCTACAATGATACTTATAAAAGGTTCCATGAAACTTGCCACTTTGATGGGATAGCTGTTACTTAATTTGCAAAAGGTAATTCATGGACAAAGGACTTTCCAAGACTATAAAGGAAGTTTGTCAATCATAGCACCTTTGGGCTCAAATTATCCATTAAATATCAGACTTCTTTCCCTTATTCCACTGTACAATGCTGAGGAACTTACCCAGGGGTGGGCTGGCAAGTAGATTGTACCTATTTACCCTCTTGCAAAGGACATTAATTCCTACTGGTTTGTGGATCCCTTCACAAAATGGATGGGAACTCTTCAACTCAGATGGAGCATGTCCTGAAGATCAAGTCTTCCAAAGTGATAATGGATCCTCTTTCATATCTCAGTTCACTCAACAAATGACCAGAATCCTGGGCCTTAAATAACTATCTTCATTCTTCTTGGGTAAATGTCAGGAAATTTTCATGTCTTGGGCGGAAATCCTCCCTGTGGCTCTTCCATGTTCCCAAGGCCTATCTTTAACTCTATCCCTTTGAAATGCCATGTCGCAGAACTTTCCTATTCTCTGACTTATTGAACTTGAAACCATCAATATAACATAATATACAACTTCCCTGAATCAATTCTAATAGATCATCCAGGACTGTGGACACCAGGAAGATGGAAGGGAATAGTCATGTGCCCCTGCCTTATGCACACTTGGGAATTGAGTTCTAGATCTCCAGGATGTCAGTTAATTCTTTGCAAGGGCCCTTTGATTGTTCTTTCTACCCCTGCAGCAATAAAGGTGCCTGGTGTTGCTAGCTAGATTCATTACTCTTGAGTCAAATCCACACTGAGGACAGCTTACCCAGAGGAGGTGTGGATCCACAAAAGGGGAGTTGTGAACAAATAGAGGACCTAAAATACATCTTCAAGAGGAGGCCCATGGATGAGCAGCTCCCAAGCTAGTTATCTCCTCTCTTGATGACCTATTAATCTTGATTTTTCTCAGATGAGTAATGTGTGGACACCAGTACAGAATTTGACCATAATACCAGTGGCCTCCATTCAAGAATCTTACTTAGACTTTTTAACAGTTAGGCTTTTCGTCTTATCTATCATCCCCAAACCTAAAATGTTCCTTTATAGATCTGTTTTTTCTCTATGCAGGTAACTTCTCAAGCAGGGATACCTACCCACCCTACCTGCCAACTATGGAGGAAAGCTTAAAACTCTTAAGTAAACTTCATTCCTTTGTAGACTTTTGTGCTTGTTGGATATGGGCCCATTGATGTCCCAGCCTCTCCTGTATTCTGGGGGATGCTTCTCACTTGTATGGCATATAAAATTATATATACAGATGGCTAGAACCCACCTAAGTCTCAAAATGGTATAAATATGGAACTTCTGACAAATGTTCAACCACCCATGAATGTGTCTGGGGAACAGCCTTCTCCCAGGTGCAACTCAGTGTACTGCTTCCCTTCTGCCTCGGGTCTCAGCCACAGGGACAGTCAAGGGGCTCCATCAGCACTTATTGGTGAAACCAACCCTAACTCTTGATTCACCACAGAATTAGGCCATGGTTCTGGAAGATTATCCTGGGGTTGAATGGTAGAACTCCCGAATCTCACATTGTAAGGTACAGAGTTGTCCTACATAAGCGCTACAATCTGCCTGTTCACTAAAAAAATCAGTTTCTGGGCCCAACTTTAAAATTAAAAAGTAGAAAATTGCAAATAATCTTTCCTGTGGTGGGGGTAGGGTGAAATTCTGGTCATCAACTCAGTTGGGCTCAAAATACATCTCAGTCTCTCCTGCCCACTCAGCCTACATCATCCCCTCCTGAAATTGACCCCGTCCTGTATCTTCCTGGGGGTCATGGCTGTCTTTGCATGCCTCCCACTGGAAAGTCTCACCTGTCTTCTTTTGATACCTCTATCTATTTGTTATGCATCAGATGGATGGGTGTTTGCACCTTGATACACATTCTTTTTTTATTAGAATGATCAACCTCAGGCATCTCTCTCCCCATTTTTACTACACTTCTGTTGCTAGTGAGCTGTCATTAACCTGGACCAAACATGTCTTTCCACAATGTCAGAATTTGCTGAATGACAGTAAATTCATGGGCTGTACCACTTTCAGCAGTGGCAGTTCTCTGAATACTTGTGGGTCACCTGAGAGACATAAGCCAGGCAAGCACAAATTCTTTCATTCCATTACAAACTTAAATTCTAATACTGGTAATACTCCAGTCACACATACTTCACATGGTGATACA